TACGGCAAAATCGTAGTGGGGGGTTGTCTTCCAGTCTTTGACGCATCAGTTGGAAAGATGTGAGTGGAAAAACCGACCACTCCAGAACGCCAAACAGCTGTCGGTCTTTTTCGGAGTTTTCCGGTGCGTCGCTCAGACCTGCAAGTGCGGCCTGGACTTGTCCCTTGATAAATCCCAATGAGGACGTGATACGGACGTGATTCAGAGGGGAAGAAGCTAAGGGCAGCACTACTAGTAGCAAGTGCGTCGCTATTAACAAGAAGCTACTAGGAAGCACGCCCAGTTCGGGTGGTTATTTGAACATGCATCTTCAAGGGGGTTATAAACCACCCGAACTGGGTGGTGCTAGAGGAAGCCAAAAAAGCAACGCAAAGTCATTCATTCCGATGGATTCGTTCCTTCAGTCCTGCAGCATCGGGCTGTGGATGGTCACCCATGGGCACCTGAGCCATCACCTCCTTCGAGTTTTTGGAGAAAAACGACCCAAACAGACATCCCGGGGCTTTTAAAGCGGCTTTGCCTTTATCAGATTGTTCAAATTCGTTGAGTCCGATAAGTAAGGCTTTAAAGTTTAATTTCGGAGGCCTGCAGTGGCGCGCGAGAATTCGTGACCAGGTTTCCGAGATGGACCATGGTTGGTGTCATGTTTTAGTTTGACCTCGTGAATGTTTTTGGTTGATTTGGCTGGGGTGCTTATGTTTTGTCACCACATCCATCTCGTTAGGTACAAAGTAGACCCTCAGCGCAGCCATATCAGCAGCTCAGCAGCCATAGTTCACCATGATCAAGAGGACGCTCCAACAACACACGCACACACCACAACAACAACAAATGCGTTTTTTTCTAAACCCACCCGCCTCGCAACGATTCAGATCTGGCCCGATCACATTGAAATCATCTCGGCCCGGGTCTCCAAAACAAAAACATGGAGTAGCTACTATAGTACTAGCTTCTTGCCACTAGTGGTAGTGGCCTCCACCCTAGTAGCGATGGCCTCCACCCGTTTCAGCGAGGATCTCTTTCAGGCTGCCCTTCTTCAGACCTCTGAAGGCTGGTCATGGCCTTGGGACTCGACTCGTGGCCTTGCCGGGCTTCGACGGTGGCATCTGACCGGTGTTGGTTTTCCGTTTCAATGGCACCGGTGTGGGACCCGCAGTGCGGGATCTGGAGGTAGGACCTTCAGTGAAATGGACCTTGGGAGTTATGCAGCGTTGTAGAGGGTACATATCCCATGTTCTAAGGTACAAACAAGTCGGGTCGAAGTAGGTGGAGTCTGAAAAGACTTCTCCTGCAAATGACGTTTTGCGCGTTGATCCTCGTCTCGCAGATGTTGCGAGACTTGGTTCTTCAGAGCTGTTGCAGTTCACACAAACAGAGCTGCAGTGGACATGTAGATCGTTTGTAAGCTGCAGTACAAAGGGTGTTGAGGGTAGATCGTTTGTAGATCATTGAATTGTTCCAGAGCTGCGGTGGATTATTTTTGATCCTTAACACCCTCAAGGACAATTCTCGTGAAGAATGGGTTGTAACATGCTGTAACAATCGATGTGATCTGACCATATTTGACCCCGGGTGCATTCGAAGACCATTAAAAGAAAGGTTGACCCGGGTTTTGTAGTCTAGATTCCTGATGAACACCTGATTGTTTGGTCCATTGACAAAATCGTGTTTAGAATGCTAGGGTGACTATAGAAATGGAGCTCATACAGGGCCCGCTGAACATTTAGACTTGGCTTTCCATGGTGGGGTTCACCCCTCATGATGAAAAGGCAACAAGACCACTACTGTAACCCATCATCTCCCATAGGTTAAGGCTCCTCCTCATTTCGACAGATGATTTTTTTTCAAGAGAAGCCACTCTCGTTTCCAGGAGTTCACCCATAAGACACCTCCGCCCACCCTTTCACGACCCATCCTTTCATGTCTCCTTTTCCGCACACAACCAGCCGACCACCCGTGTGGGAACTCATTCTTCGGCCTGCCGACCAGCCGCGACCGCCTGGAGGCGGCTCTTTGAGCTTCTCCCACATGGATCTCGGGACCGGGGCGGCCTCCACGTGCCACGACGCGACGCGGGAGTCGTTCACCCTGTCCGCGCGGAGTGGTGTTTTTTGATCTCTGAAGACCTGGACCCTCCAGTTTGTACCTTCGAATTCCAGGAGATGACCTTACAACCCACTAGGGATCCAGTCATACCTTCTCAGAAGGTGATGTGTTACTTGGATCCCTATAGGGCAAGAACGGGTATGTAGACTTGTCTTTAAGTTCGGACAGTTCATAGTGACCAGTGCATGGACCATTCCGCCCATCCAGCCAATCTTAAATGAATTGGTTTAAGGGAAAATCTGCAGGAAACCCTTGTTTTCATCTCAAAACCTATGGTTTTCCTGTAGATTTTCCCTTAAACCAATTCTTCAAATCTTGGCCAGAATGCTGTGTATGTGGATTGCCAATCTGTCCGGTGGTAAGCACAGAGTGTAACCACAGGCTGGCGGGGGGAAGAACGCCCTGAAAGTGTAGCAATCAGCTCCGGAGCCATCCATCGATATTTCACTTTGATCGGCTAGTTGAGGGTCGGCTGCTAGCTCTCTAGCGATGCACGGCTCAAAGTTTTTGAGCATGCACTCATATCCCTGGTCTTTTCGTCAAGCCAAATGGGGAGAATCGTGGTTTCTCAAAGTAGAGGAAGAAGAGAAGCGACCTTCTGTGTTTGGAGGGCTGAGTTTGCCAGTCTCCTGCAAGATCAAAAAATAACACACCAAAACGTCTATTGGTGCATCCGGGTGATGTAGATGTTCCCTATACATCACATATATATATATATAGGTGCATCAAGCAGGTGCATCGTATTCTGTTTTTGAAAACCACAGACATGGGTGGCTGCAGACGGACGGTTCAGGTCGGTTCCGGGGGTAGACGTGTGCCACGAAACGAACACGAAGCGAAGACGTTGGCCTGACCTACCGGTGAATGATTTGGCCTAGAGAATGAGTGAAGAATGAGTAAAGTGGCCACGAAATCTGATGTTTGGAGAACTTGGCCCGGCGCCGTGTGAGGCAAATCATGGCAAATCTGAACAAACATCACTGGATACAGGTCTCTCTTCGCACCTTCTCTGCGGTCCCGGCAAAAACCCGTCTCAGTTTTTTCTGCGCCTCCAAAACGTGTGCAGGACCGGGACCGACTGCGAAGAGCTGATTTTCCAGCTGAAGGTGCGAAGGGGAATCGGGGATCTGTCGAGGAAGCGGTCGGTCACAGTCGAGAGGTTTTGATCTTTTGGTTCACAAAACTCAAATTGCTTCTTGGTACGAACGTAGTAAGAATGCTACTTGTAGTGATGCCAGGAGCCCCGTTCGTAGCGTCCGAACGCTCCTAGTAGTAAGGCCAGGAGCCCCTAGTAGCGTTCCAAAGTACTATCATCCCCAAGTTCATCAAAAGTACTTCACAAAAGGGATACTCTAGATGGTAGAGGTGCCTGTTCGTACATCGGGTGCGAACGAAGTCGGGTCCAGGTACAAGCCAAGCCATTTTAGAATACATCGGGTGCGACACATATCAGGACCGAAGTCGAACCACACATGTCACAGCACATGTCAGATTTCGCGGGGCAAATGTCAGAACAGAGGCCAACAAGGACATCAGAACACAGCCCAGAGCATTTCCCAGCTATTAATGCTATAGTTGATGTGCCAGAGCACATACCAGATGTGTCAATCCACATGTCAGGCCACGTTTGTTTGGATAGCTTGTCAATTACATGTGCCCTGCCTTCTTTCAAATCGCCTCTCAGGTGGGGATCACTCGAAGTCAAGCAATTTTTGTTTTTTGGGGGTTTGGTGACTATGTCACACAGACAGCAAGTGCAAAGGGAAATGAAGCCTTCTTATCACAAGCAAACAGTAGCCAACATATAATATATATACTAGCATTAAGACAACAACGAGATAGCAGTACGAAGTAGCAGTACAACATTATATAATACGTAGAAGCTGCACAACATGTGCACTACCAGAGCCCCCTGTTCTGTTTGACGGGTCCTAGTACTTGGACTGGACTTCAGACATGTACTCGAACACCTTCCAGGAACCCCATATGGCCCCACGTTCTGAGGTACTTTCACAGGTCGACTTCAGGTAAAATCTTCTGGCTTGCTCACAATGCTTCAGAACTCTAGGACCCCAGAGGCACCTGTTTGAATGCTCAAAAAATTGAAGGACACTCGGCTACAGTGCCTATTGAAGTACGGTAGAAAGTGGAGTCAATCCTGTCTATGCTGTGCTATACTCAATAAATATTCGAGGCATTCGAGGATTGACTTCTGAAAAGGGAGTCTGTGGGACACAAACTATCCCTGTGCCATCCAGAGTTCCTGGCCATACTCAAGCCGCTGACCAATTCAGTCAACCTGCTTGCACACCACCCAGCAATTCCACGCGCGGGTTTACACACGTCTCGCGTCGCTGGTCTCAGGCCGAACGAGAGTTGCGGAACACAGAGAAGGCGCCGGCGCCGGGCGACCGCAACCGCAGTCACCGCAGGGGTGGCGATGGATGGCGGTTCGGATGGCGGATTGTTCTTCATGGCGGTTCTGATGTGTTGAGTGACTGACATCTGAACCTGCGTTTCGTCGCCATGACCCTCTCCCCATGACCCTTGGCACACCCGTGAGGCTTTGAGGCTTTGGTTTTCATTTGGAAGAAGATCAACACGATGAGCCACCCCAGTCTAGCATGCAAACGAATCCCCCGATGCTTCACAATGGGCAACGCCTCCAATCATTCCTCGTCCGATGCCATCTTCTTGGGAAGGTTTTGGTATGAGGAAACCGCGTAGTACGACCTCCGGCAGAGAAGTAGACAAATTGACAGCCATCAATTTGGAGATCTCCCTACACCAATTGCCAGGACGCTAATAGGGGCTCCTGGCATCGCTACGAACGGAGCGTTCGGACGCTACTAGTAGCAAGGAAGCTACTTGTACGACGCTCTTCGTTGGCGGGCTCGAGATTTAGGTCCGACACGTGGGTTCACATGACCAGCCACAGCATGGCGAAGCTGCGAAGCTGCACAGATGAACGGCACAGCACTGACACAACCCACCAGGACTGCGTAGGTAGGAAGGACTGCGACCCAACAGGTCTCTTCCCAGGCGAGCTGCGGACGGGAGAGATCGGCCAGCACGTGGGTCGAAGAATAGAACCTTCTACTTTGGGCTGCAACTGGCGTGAATGTTCGTTATGAGATCTGAAGCCAGTTTCTTTTTTTTTTTGGCATAGGTCCTTCCTTCTGCTTGCGTCTTGATTAGGTGAGAATGGTGACTGAAGCTAATTGGCGCAATATCAGTACAGTTTTGAAGTCTGTTGTGGATCATCAGTCTGGCTCCCATGCTCCACGTTTAGCTTTTGGCTTCCCATTGATATAGACAGTAATTACTGTACCTGCTTTTGTAGGGTCATGAAAGAACGCTAGTAATTAGGTTGGAGGCCATCGCTAGTAGGTTGGTTCCATGTGTCCGTGCCAGGCCATGACCACCATGGCTGAGCAGTGGATGCCAATTCCAGGTGCGAACGTCCAAGGTCATTGGAAAGAGCCTCAAAGTAATTTGGAAAACGGGACAGTGTCATAGCCACATGACCCTATCCTACCCAGTCAGTGGATAACCTTTAGTAGCCATTTTGAGGGAGTTGGTTCCCCACTCAATATGAACAGATTGGCAAAAACCTTAAAAAGCTTAACCTTTTCAAGGGACACTGAGGGAGTCAGCTATTATACTTGAGAAGCTACTAGTAACAAGTGCATCGCTACTAGGAGCAAGGACGCTACTAGGGGTTCCTGGCCGTACTACTAGGAACAAGAAGCTACTAGTAACAAGGGCATCAGTCGGTACTCATTGTTCGATGTACGAAGAGAGGTCGAGGTATTGGTGCTCGAGTGCGGGCTCGAAGACGAGGGATCGTCGGGTGGGATCGTCAAGGCCTTGGCATCCAACGTGTGCGTCATTCTTCCTTGGGCTCGTCTTTCGTAGGCTTTCTCGTCAAGTAGGTCATTCCCTCATCCTTTGCCAAGCGCCAGTGATCTTTTTGGGGGGGGTCTCCGAATGTCTCTCCAAGTTCCTTTCAGCATGAGCTGAACAGCGCTCCGCTTTAAACGCAGCTTTTGTTTTGGGAGCAAAACACCTATCTCGGTCTCGTTTAGTTTGACCGGCATCAACACTTTCCCAGCGCCCCAGCGCCCTCGCCCCTCCGTGTCGCTACGCGCTACGCGGGACGCGACGACGAGCGACGAGGCAACATGAGTGCGACGACGCGATGTGTTCCCGGCAGTGCCACCCTTGGTGCGGCGGTGGGACGGAGGACGCTACAAACGGGGCTCCTGGCCTTACTACTAGGAGCGATCGGACGCTACTAGTAACAAGTGCATCGCTTCTAGTCACAAGTGCCTTACTAGTAGTAACAAGAAGAAACGAACGGGGCTCCTGGCCTTACTACTAGGAGCAAGTAGCTAAGCTTTTAGTATGGATGGTGGGGGAAGTGGGTCCGCGCGAGGAGACCGGAGGAGTGACCTTGGTACATGGCACAGCTATAGTTGCACCCCTGAGACACGTCCCACCCACTAAGACCTTCACAACCATGTGGGATGAACAGCCTCCAATCTGCTAGCGATGACCTCCAACCTAATAGCGATGGCAAATTCACCTGAACTCAATCAATTGGGTTGCAACGTACCCAGCGGTGCATAGAGCCTCGAGAAAGATTGTTGGCGCTAAAGGGGAACCCGCGAAACGCTTCGAGGTTCCTTGGATACATTTGGTCCAGGCTTGCGAAATAGACCATGACTGTACGGTTGGGTGTCCTCTTGAAGTACTCACCGGTTTGGATACATCGGCTGGGTCTCCAACCTAACAGCGCTGGCCAACCTGTGCAGCTTCAAGACACGACGTTTGGTGGGACTAGTAGAAACAATAAGCTACTAGGAACAAGACTTTAAGTCGACCTCGACGACGAACTCGTCCATAGTCGACACGAGGGTTCGGGTCAAGTGTCCCACGAGGGTTTGACTCGTGTGAATCGAAAGCTGGAAGTATTCTTGAAGTCTAGGAGCCTTCATAAAGAAATCCTGCCAGTTCCGCCTGGACCTCAATCAGCTGAATCTGTGGGAAGATCAGCCCAACAGAGCGCAGATGAGGCACTGGCCCCATGTACAGCCCAGAGGACGCAGAGAAGGGACGCAGAATTGGAGACGATGAAACAATATGAAAAGAATTTGGGATTGTTCAATGTTGGATTCAATTGGAGCGGTGAATGTGTTTTCTGGTGCAAGAACATGGGGATGTGCAGAAAATGGTGGTTTTCACAAGGATTTGTTGTCCAATTCAACTCTATGAGCTTGCATCTTGATGTCGATTGAAGCAGGTGTAATTCACAGCAAAGTCAGCGGCCTGAGCGCTGAGTTGAACCCATGTTGCACAAACAAGTCGCCAGAAAAGCGCAAGTCTTGGTGTTGTGGCAAGTCTTGAAAAAAACAGTAGAGGTACTGTACCCACTGCACACACACACACACATAGTCTCATGAATTTCACTAGATTTGGGTATAACTATTGTATTTGGGGAGTATTAGATTACAAAAAGGACTGCGCTCTTTGAAGCCCACCTCACCAAACCACCTGTCCGACCACTTCGCAAGATTTGCTAGCTCTTCCAACTATTCACCATTTCCACTATAGGTGGGTAGCGTTCGGATGCTCTACTAAACAAGGTGGAGGCCATCGCAAGTAGGTTGGAGACCATCGCTACTAAACAAGAAGCTACTAGGAGCAAGAAGCTACTGGGGGCTCCTGGCATCGCTACTAGGAGCAAGGACGCTACTAGGGGCTCCTGGCCGTACTACTAGGAGCATCCTTACTACTAGTAACAAGAAGCTACTGGGGGCTCCTGGCATCGCTACAAGGAGCAAGGACGCTACTAGGGGCTCCTGGCCGTACTACTAGGAGCATCCTTACTACTAGTAACAAGAAGCTACTAGAGGCTCCTGGCATCGCTACTAGGAGCAAGGACGCTACTAGGGGCTTGTGGTCGTATTAGTAGGAGCATCCTTACTACTAGTAACAAGAAGCTACTGGCGGCTCCTGGCATCGCTACTAGGAGCAAGGACGCTACTAGGGGCTCCTGGCCATACTAGGAGCATCCTTACTACTAGTAACAAGAAGCTACTAGGGTCTCCTGGCATCGCTACTAGGAGCAAGGACGCTACTAGGGGCTCCTGGCCGTACTACTAGGAGCATCCTTACTACTAGTAACAAGAAGCTACTAGGGCTCCTAGCATCGCTACTAGGAGCAAGGATGCTACTAGGGGCTCGTGGCCGTACTACTAGGAGCATCCTTACTACTAGTAACAAGAAGCTACTAGGGGCTCCTGGCATCGCTACTAGGAGCAAGGACGCTACTAGGGGCTCCTGGCCGTACTACTAGGAGCATCCTTACTATTAACATGAAGCTACTGCGGGCTCCTGACATCGCTACTAGGAGCAAGGACGCTACTAGGGGCTCCTGGCCGTACTACTAGGAGCATCCTTACTTCTAGTGACAAGAAGCTACTAGGGGCTCCTGGCCATACTACTAGGAGCATCCTTATTACTA